CAGTTAAGTAAATACTGTACTGTAACGCCTGTATTGAACAGTATTTTAAAAAAATCTGCATTTTGAACAAAAAATTGAACAGCATTTAAGAAAAAAAAAGACTAATATAAAGCTACTGTTGATAAAACATAATTAATACAGTATGTTGTAATACTAAAATTTACAATAATACAGTATATTGTAATAATAAAATTCACAAACTGACTTACTTTTTACGTAGCCGAAGCTGTGAAAATTACGAAGCTGCGCAGATTACCTCATCCTCTGTTGCGCATATTTTGTATTGTTCAGTGTTGTATTGTATTGCTCTGCCATCCCATGAAATTAATTTGCTAATGGGGTGAGCAGGGACATTATCTAGCAGCAAAAATGACTTAACCACACTGGCCTTCACTCTATATTTGTTAATCTGGAATTTTCTAACCTCCTTGAAAAAGTAGTTTTCTAACCAATCCATAAATATTGATGGATTAAACCATGAATTCTTTGCACTATTGTACATTACGGGTAGTGAATGCACTATATTTTTATAGACTCGAGGGTTTTTAGACTTAATTGCACACTTTGTCCTGTGAGACACAGACAGACATCAGCATAGAGCAAGGCAAAGGGTCGTTCCTTGCATATCATTCATCCAAGAATTCTTTCCTGCGTCCTACTGGTCAAGGATTTAATGGGGTACAGCAGTCCAAATAAACCTGATCTCGTCACCATTATGCACTTGATATTTGCTTAAATTATTACTGACAATGTAATAATTGATCTTATCCTTGAAGAATTCAACATTAGTGGAATCTGCACTTGAAGCCTCGCCAGCTTTATTTTTTTTTCGTGTTTGAAATTTTATTTGGAGCCTTGAATCTCACAGTCCACCCATCACTGGCAATGAAGTCTGTTGTACATGATTGAATGGCAAGTTTATTTGTCGAAATTTAAAGCTCTTCAAATTGTATCGTGCTGAATAAACCACTAGACACTACAGCACCCAATTGTGTATACTGAGCTGCCCTTAGCACCCCCCCGGAACACGCAGCACCAGAAGTATCACACACTGTAGGGCTCGCACACATTTCCTTCTGCTTGTGTTAATGTCACAACAACAACACTTCTGCCAATGTTAAACTGCTGGTACTCGCGTTCTCACGTTTCTTGAGTGAATTCCAACTTTGTGCCACCGCCAGGCGCTTCCTTCGGGGTGCCTGCCTTAGCCCCGTGTGCTAGTAAGTTCAGGCATCGCGTTCTGAATTCAATTTAAACTACACATCACACTTAGACTAACGAGGAGCGGGCGACGGCGGGGGCGGCGGCGCGGGTCACAGTAAACACTGGCAAGTGACCCCCCCCCCCCCCCGCGACGCCCCCCACCACCTCCTCTTGGAAAAAAATTACCTACCGCAGTATGCTATAAAAGTCATTTAAAAAGATAAATAGAGAATTTGTCTTAATGCTACTTGTTTCCTAATATTTTTGTTAATAATAATTTGTAATTTGATCCATAAAATTGTCAGGTTTTTTAAATATTTAATATTTATTTTACGACTCGTTGAGGCTGCAAGTTCAAGTATGTTTATTGAGACAAGACAAAAATACATCTCAAAGGGATAGAGTAGCTTAGGCTATTTCTACCCCCTAATTGAGGCTGCAGGTCGGTGACCAATGCCGAAAACAAAATAAAAGCCAATTGCGGTCAGTATTATTAACGACCGCACGGCTCAGTATATAAGGCTGCAGTTACCGGATTCCAAACTGTTAAAACCGGCTTAAGGCTAAATAAGAGGTCCTTCAAGCGAGTGTATACTAATAAACTAAAATAAATATAGTTTAAATAACTGATTACCCTTAACTAGTTTAATTAATGAATGTTACTTTTTTTACTAGTAATTTAGTCATAATTAAACATAGTATAAGGAAAATATTGAAAATTTAGTCATAATTAAACATAGTATAAGGAAAATATTGAAAATGAATTATAATTCCGTCGTGTAGGCTACTAGAAGCGGGTATTCTGTACGTTCTCTAGATTTGCTACTCCGTTCAAATTGCGACTGTTTTGCCTAACCATTTACGTCAAAAAATGTCTAAAGACGTCAATATTTGTGCATTAATTTTTACAAATACGTCGCAGTTTTAACGGATTAGTCGATTCCGTTAAAAATGCGACGTGCTATTGATAAAAAAAAGGAATTAATGGATTTTTGGTTTAAGGTTACCTTATTTAAGAGGAGGTTCCGGGGATCAATGTCTCCCCCTGGCCCGGTCTCAAGCCTTGCCTCCAGGTTGATGGTCGACTAAATTGTTGCACGTCGCTGCATGCATGCTGACGTACGTTGATCAGGTAACTTATGTGGGTGATTTTCACGTTACCTCTTAACCACAATTAGACGATTTAATAATATACTTTAATAGATTTAATAATATAGAAGCTGTTGAGTCTTACGGCATTATACTTTTATAATTATTTTATATATCATGGCTTCCTCCTTCTTTAAGTGATTTCGGGGCTTAGCGTCCCCGCGGCCCGGTCCTCGACCAAATCTCCTTTTTGTTACACACCCCCAGGAAGCAGCATGTATTAGCTGTCTAACTCCCAGGTACCTATTTACTGCTAGGTAACAGGTGCATCAGGGTGAAAAACTTTTTGCCCATTTGTCTCCGCCTCCACCGGGATCGAACCCGGAACCTCAGGCCTACAAATCCGAAGCGCTATCCACTTAGCTGTCAGGCGCCTTTCCTCCAGGTCGATTTCCTGCCCCCTGTCCAGAATGCAACCCTATAACAAAGTGACACTCCTAGGTATCTATTTACTGGTAGGTAAACAGAGGCATCAGGTGATAGGAAATAAACCCAACCATTTCCGTTTCTGGGTTCCGGGATTAGAACCCAGAATTCCCGATCGAGCCGAAAACGAATCCGACTATATTATGTACTGAAGCCAGAGTGTTTAATGCATCTATTTTGCTCATTTAATCATGCTTGCTTGTCTTGCTTCAGCTACCCTCAGTTTCCAGCCACCAGCCATACTCAGCCACCTGCTAGTCTCAGCCACCAGCCATACTCAGCCACCAGCTACTCTCAGCCACCAGCTACTCTCAGCCACCAGCCATACTCAGCCACCAGCTACTCTCAGCCACCAGCCATACTCAGCCACCAGCCATACTCAGCCACCAGCCATACTCAGCCACCAGCTAGACTCAGCCACCAGCCATACTCAGCCACCAGCTAGACTCAGCCACCAGCCATACTCAGCCACCAGCTAGACTCAGCCACCAGCCATACTCAGCCACCAGCTAGACTCAGCCACCAGCCATACTCAGCCACCAGCTAGACTCAGCCACCAGCCATACTCAGCCACCAGCTAGACTCAGCCACCAGCCATACTCAGCCACCAGCTAGTCTCAGCCACCAGCCATACTCAGCCACCAGCTAGACTCAGCCACCAGCCATAGTCAGCCACCAGCTAGACTCAGCCACCAGCCATACTCAGCCACCAGCTAGACTCAGCCACCAGCCATACTCAGCCACCAGCTAGACTCAGCCACCAGCCATACTCAGCCACAAAAGCAACCACCCACACTCAGCCACCATCCACTGGAATATTTTGTGAACATTAAATACAAAACTAACCCTGGATTACATAAAGCTAAAGTAAGTAATTATCAAAAGAAGGCACCAAGCCGGGAAGACTATGTAGCACCATAACAAAGCCAAAGAAAGCAATTGAGTAGGAATTCCTATATATTTTGCCGAGGTATTAAGCCTAGTCGGACCAGTTTACCTTGCACACCTTAAACCAGCCTATTAGTGGTCGTGGAGTTGTAAGGAACCTTGCAGAAATTCCGCATCCTGCGCGGGATTCGAACCTGGGACCATTCGGATGAGATGACTGCCCCCTTCTACTGTGTTTGATAAATTTTAACACAGATTTTTTGTTTAAGGATTGGTAAACAAAACACACGTGTAGAGAGTGTTATGTTCGTGTTTATATTTCGCCAGGTGTGCATCTGGGTTGTGAAGTGAAGGTGTGTTTGTACAGTTCTTTGTGAATATTTTGCACTATAAATAAGACTCAAACTTACTGTCTTTCGTCCTTCAGTATTCAGTCTTTGTCCAGTGTATGTGTGTGTGTGTGTGTGTGTGTGTGTGTGTGTGTGTGTGTGTGTGTGTGTGTGTGTGTGTGTGTGTGTGTGTGTGTGTGTGTGTACACTCACCATCCACAAAAGTACATCATGATTATAATAACTTTGGGATGTACAGATTCTCATAAAATCATATGAAAACATGAAGATAAGCGCTCATGCGCATATATATATATATATATATATATATATATATATATATATGTCGTACCTAATAGCCAGAACGCACTTCTGAGCCTACTATGCAAGGCCCGATTTGCCTAATAAGCCAGGTTTTCATGAAATAATTGTTTTTCGACTACCTAACCTACCTAACCTAACCTAGCTTTTTCGGCTACCTAACCTAACCTAACCTATAAAGAAAGGTTAGGTTAGGTAGGGTTGGTTAGGTTCGGTCATATATCTACGTTAATTTTAACTCCAATAAAAAAAAATGACCTCATACATAATGAAATGGGTAGCTTTATCATTTCATAAGAAAAAAATTAGAGAAAATATATTAATTCAGGAAAACTTGGCTTATTAGGCTATATATATATATATATATATATATATTGGCTATATATATATATATATATATATATATATATATATATATATATATATATATATATATATATATATATATATATATATATATATATATATATATATATATATATATATATATATATATATACGCCCACGCGTGCACAACTTTCAACACAATTGCTTAGTTAAGTCTTTTTTTTTATGCCGTGATTGTACTTAATCAAAAATCATAAACACTTTGTCTATAATTATCCAGCTACGCCCTCATACAAGTTCATTCTTTCTTCTTTTGATGGCAAAGGTCTTTCATGTCACAGATGCATAAGCACTCTTAATAAACACATTTATCGATATATTTTCCAGCGGCCGACCTGGAAAGCTTGCGTTACTGCATTGGTCATGTCCTGTGTCTTCTCAGAACTCGATTGTAGCGTTCCAGCTTTGGTCAGATTTCCTGGTAGATCAAGGATTTCGTGACATGTTACTGCAGGGCTGGCTCCGTCAGTCAGCCCTCTCTGGCCAGGGCGAGGTGCTCATCAGCGCTGTACCCGAAGAGTTGGAAGTCTGTCTCGTAACGCTTGTAGAGTTCTTTCAGCTGTTGACGGGTCAGCTGGCTGAAGAACTTCTTGCTGATACTGCTGCTGATGGTGGTGGTGCTGCTGCTTGTAGTAGGAGATTCTGCTGCTGCCTTTCTCGTCCAGGTCTCGTTACCTAAGCGTCCCCAAGTCTCCTTCGCCAATTCCTGTGGCCACACGAGATAAACACAGTATGTTAGTTATGGTTGATTTTAAAGCAATTCATTAGTTTAATTCATCAATTCTCCAGATACACTCAACCTGCAGTTACCCTCAGCCTCCTGCCACACCTGCTTCTAGCCACACCCTTAGCCTCCACGTTCTACAGTTTATTCCAAGTCAGCTTAGTATACCCAGTTCCACCACTGAGCCGCCAAGGCTGCACAGCATTCCCTCCACCAGTGGAGTGAGTGTAGTATCCTGTATCTTATATTACTTATTGGTTTAGTTTAACCGAGTCCCTTAAGAATAAGTAAAGGCTTTGGAAGCCTCAAGAAGAAACCGAGATGCGTGGTTCTCTGCTAAGTCTCATTCTCTTACCTCCTGGGAAAATAGGAATTCAAAATAAGAAGATGGAAGGGTGAAATATATGGAAAAAGAGGAAATAAAGATAGAACAGGATAATTAAAGTGTCCCTTTCTACTGGCAGGAAGCCCTCTACCTGGTTACCTCTGAGTGTTTAAGGTCGGTGAGGGCAGCGAGGAACCTCAGGTCCTCCTCCATCGTCTCCTGCTTCACGATGACGTTGTAGTCGCTGCTGCAGACACTACATTCTGCCCAGTACGGCGTCCACACCGTCACCTGTAGAGCAGGAGATGATGTGATGCCAGCATGGCAACTGGACCTGTGAGGGATGTGGGGATCAGTGTGGCAACAGGCACTGTGTGAGGGACCCTTATGGCAATCAGAAATATTTGTCTGAGATTAGGCAGGTGAAACGGGTGAAGTATGTCAACAAGTGGTAGAATAGAAATTAATCTGGCAACTGCCACGTAAACTAAATGAAGTCGACAGGTTGCATGACACCCGCCTAGCGAAGACACTCAATAAGAGTATGAATAACATGACCCCTAATGAAATGAATGACAAGTGAAAAAAATGTACTTATGTGCAAAAAATCATGAACGCATGAATTGTTGTTCTGGCGGGACAAAGACCTCACCGTCTGTCTCCAGTGCTTGCTGGTGGTGAAGTTACTGGTGGAGTCGAGGACGTACTGGACGAACTGTGGGAAGGTGGGGAAGACGGGACCCCTGGAGGACCTGGAGGACCTGGAAGCCAGGGACCTGGAGGCCAGGGACCGGTACTGGGAGACGATGGTCTGCTGCAGCTTGCGGTACTTGGGAGGCGTCGGGTGCTTCGTGGTCAGCTTCTCCAGATAAGCCGTCAGGAGCCTGAGTGAGAGTGTTACTGGTTAGCTCGTCCTCACCCTCCTCCTAACCTCAAACAAAATGTTTTTGCTAAAACTAAATTAATCAATTATATACCAGAGGAATAAAGAGTTACTGACAACACATATCAGTGCAAGCGACTCTTTGAAACTACACAAATAAAAGAGGAACTTGCCCTTTCCTCTTCCTTTCCACCTGCCTCTACAGGAAGCCTCAGTTTACCTCTCAGTATATCAGCGCCCGGGAGTTAACCAACTGTTGTGGGCTGCATCCAGTGGTAAGGCCAGTCAAGGTGGTCCTCGATAACCACCACAGGCTTCCTGTCCCCGCCAAAGAGCACCTTAAACACGGGGGCTCACCTGGTGAAGGGGTGACCGACGAAAATGGCCCGAAGGCTCTTCTGAAAGGCCTCGGCCTTTTCCTTGCCCTTGGTTGGGTTGTAGCTCAAGTCCGACTCCCGTGCCTGTTGCCATGGGGACAAGCATGAAGGTGATACAGTTATTCAATCCATTGATTACACACAAATACAGAATACTTAGAATATAAATACAGAAAGACAAGAAGTTAGGATATGGGGGGATGGAGTGCAGAAAAGATGCCGAACCAGTTGGACCATCGGGGATTGAACATCGACCCTGCAAGCAGAGAGGCCGTCGCTGTACCAACCAGTTCAACGACAACAAACCATTTGGTTCAGTAGAGGCTTCATACAGCAAGGATCGTAACAGAGTCATTAATCGACACAAAAATATTATGGTTTAATTAACAAAAAAAAATGATTCAGTAATCCCATCACGTGACTTATGGTCCTGCCACTTGCCCTACATTGTATGTTTTTGGTAACAAAATGCACTAATACCAACAACAACAGCACGCTGGATCACCCCGTAATCACCAGCAACATACACCACCACAGCAACAACACCTCCCTCTTGTCTCCAGCCCCAGGTACCAGGGACAAGCAGGTATATTCCCTGCTGTGTGTGCGCGCGCGTGTGTGTGTGTGTGTGTGTGTGTACTCACCTATTTGTGCTTGCGGGGGTTGAGCTTTGGCTCTTTGGTCCCGCCTCTCAACTGTCAATCAACTGATGTCCTGAGCCAACTGGGCTCTATCATATTTACATTTGAAACTGTGTATGGAGTCAGCCTCCACCACATCACTGCCTAATGCATTCCATCCGTTAACTACTCTGACACTGAAAAAGTTCCTTCTAACGTCCCTGTGGCTCATTTGGGTACTCAGTTTCCACCTGTGTCCACTTGTGTGTGTGTGTGTGTGTGTGTGTGTGTGTGTGTGTGTGTGTGTGTGTGTGTGTGTGTGTGTGTGTGTGTGTGTGTGTGTGTGTGCGCGCGCGCGTGCGTGCGTGTGCGTGGGTCACCACAGGTCAACGCCGCCTATCTGACACCAACAGAGAGAAGCGACCTCTTGGTGAACAAACCTGTTCACCAAGACAAAGAAATATTATTTAACCACAAAAATCTAGTTACCATTTACTTCTTTATTTAAGTTACAAGCTAAATCTTCCGAGTTCCTGTTAGATATCTATGTCAAGAAATACCTTAATGCTCAAAGGGTCAACCAGTGTTGGACTGTCCACGGCCAGGTCTACCAGTGTTGGCTAAGTTCATATAATGTCCCCCATCTCACAAGATGGCAAGTCATACATGGAACAGAAGAGAGCATGAAATGCCACCACTAGCAAACTCTGGGCACAGCACAAGAATATCTTCCAATATACGTGTGTGTATGAAATGATTAGAGAGCTAGAGGTACCATTGGAACCAATGGAACGTTCACCATTGGGGGGGGGGGAAGGTCATTACCTGCAGCCACCTGCCATAGATATTGACATCCCCTCAAGATAGGAGGCCTGGTCGACGACCGGGCCGCGGGGACACTAAGCCCCGGAAGCACCTCAAGGTAACCTCAAGGTATCCCAGCCTAATTCTGGCAATGACAATGTCACACCGTCTAGTGGATGTTTTGTGCTGCTCGTATATATGGTACTCGGTTCTCAACATGTCATAACTCTTTATACTCGTGTTCTCTGGCCTTTGTGTGTTGGTGAGTGCCCTTGTGTATAACCCAATTACCTGAAATATTGTGTTTTTTTACAATAGAGACTGGAATGCCTAGATCCAACTCAATTTAAGGTTTATACACACACACACATTATACATACATACATATACATACATATATATATATATATATATTACACCCCCTTAAACTACATGTGATAATATATACCTCTATCCCACAGGTCATGGATTGGGTTCCAGGCTGGTCTTAAAACCATTGCTTTAGTTATCATGGACACACACACGCACACATGAGCTAGACATTAGTAAGAACTTTTTCAGTGTCAGACTAGTTAGTAAATGGAATGCATTAGGCAGTGATGTAGTGGAGGCTGACTCCATACACAGTTCCAAATGTAGATATGATAGAGCCCAATAGGCTCAGGAACCTGTACACCAATTTATTAAAAGTTGAGAGGCGGGACCAAAGAGCCAAAGCTCAACCCCCGCAAGCACAACTAGGTGAGTTGTGCTTCCAGGGGGTTGAGTACACGGTTCAGAGGAAGTGGACCAAGCAGCCAACCAGAACACATTGGGGGTAGTGGGGAGGGATGGGGGGGGGGAGAGGGGGACGGTACAATGTGTACACATATCCGTGCTCACCTATGTGTGCCACGTGTTGCTGGTATACAGCGATAACTGCCGCCCCAGGTGTCTGTGTGTGTGTGTCTATGTGTGTGTGTGTGTGTGTGTGTGTGTGTGTGTGTGTGTGTGTGTGTGTGTGTGTGTGTGTGTGTGTGTGTGTGTGTGTGGGGCGCTGCCAACTACGACTACCACCTCGCCCCGATAATAAGCCTGTTGACGTGGTTCGGGGCAGTAGTCCATGTTGGTCTGGGGTTCCACATCTTGTTTCACACTATCTGAAGTGCTCTAGTTCACTGTGACTCTCTGTCTCCCGTCTGTTAGGTGTTCTCTCGCCAAGTTCAGTCCTCCCCCCGGGCCACATGCACCTGTTTCTCAAGTTTTTTATTGCATTCTTTTGTTCGTAATGTCCAGTGTTTTCTGGTAGCCTAAAACGATACTGACCCGCCACTCTACGGGTCTCTTGCTACTTGTTGACCCTAAGTAGCTTCCTGGATACACAGACACGAGACAGCTTCCTGGGTACACAGACACGAGACAGCTTCCTGGATACACAGACACGAGACAGCTTCCTGGATACACAGACACGAGACAGCTTCCTGGATACACAGACACGAGACAGCTTCCTGGATACACAGACACGAGACAGCTTCCTGGATACACAGACACGAGACAGCTTCCTGGATACAGAGACACGAGACAG